CACTTGGGCAAACCTTGACTTTTCAAGCACACAAGAGCAAAGATGTGGAAGTGGAACCATTATGTCCACCCACAGCAGAAATAAAGCCAGAGAGCTCTGAAACTCCTCCTGAAAAAAATCCATCACAGGCGATCAAGATCACAGAGTCAGAGAGAAAGGAAGCAGAAGCAACACTTTGTGATTTGGATAATTCTAAAAAGGACAAAGCAGCAGAAATTCCATTTGAGAAACCTGATTCAAATTCACCGGTCAGGCAAGTGCTGAATGCTCTTCAGACAGCATCGAGGGGGAGCCTTTCCTTATCGTCCCGGCAGTCTCCAGACACTGCAGATTCAGATGACTCTCCTTCTGCGCTGGAAATGGAGGACATCCCTGCAGGGACATGTGTAACCTCTGAGCATATTAGGGCCAGGCCGTTCGCAGGCCTCGCTGCACCACCGATCTCTCTGGCACAAAGAGAGAAGATGGCTTCCGAGGGACTCGTCCTAGATCACCATCTGGACACAGCTTGTAACACCAGTCCTGAGGGCACCGACCTGGGCCTTTCTGAAGAGGAGCCTGAGATGGACAATGTGCTAACTGAGGCGGATGCTGTGGAGGTGGGAGGAGAAACGATCAAACACGATGAATCCTCAGAAGAACAAACCTATTCTGTAAGCTTTAAACATGACAAGCAGACATACCTGTACCTCTTCTTTTTGAATATTAAACATACATGAATTCACTTTTATTTTTTGCAGCAAGAAATTCTGGATATGTACTTGATCAACTTACATCGCATTGACAAAGATGTCAGACGTTGTGACAGAACATATTGGTACTTCACTCCGGAGAACTTGGAGAAGCTGCGTAACATCATGTGCAGGTAAAACTAACATGTGTAGCCAAACTAAATACATCTAAGATTTGTCTCAACCGAAATAAACACTATGATTGTCTTCATAGTTACGTGTGGCAGCATCTGGACACGGGTTACGTCCAGGGCATGTGTGATCTGCTGGCTCCTCTGCTGGTGATTCTGGACGATGGTCAGTGAAACTTTATTCTGTCAATATCAGCTTTGAAGTGCACATAAAAGGCCAAATGAACGACATGTTCAAGTTGTGTGTGTGTGTGTATGTGTGTGTGTGTGTTTCCCAGAGGTCATGGCATTCAGCTGCTTCACTGAACTGATGAAGAGGATGAACCAGAATTTTCCTCACGGAGGTGCCATGGACTCTCACTTCGCCAACATGCGTTCTCTTATCCAGGTATAATTTACATGTATGTGCACAGACGCACTGTCAAACAAACTGTAGGGTGAAAGTGATGGCATCTTGTTTTTTATACGTCCAGATCCTGGACTCTGAGCTGTTTGAACTGATGCAGCAGAATGGAGACTACACCCACTTCTACTTCTGCTATCGCTGGTTTCTTCTGGACTTTAAAAGAGGTAATCATCATGATACCTGCCTGAATGAATCATTACTCATTTGCCTCAACATGATGCTGAATATAATATGATTTATTTGTTTTTTTGCAAATAGAAATGGTGTACGATGATGTGTTCTCTGTGTGGGAAACCATCTGGGTGGCCAAACACACCTCCTCCGAGCACTTTGTGCTCTTCATCGCTCTGGCGCTCGTGGAGATGTATAGAGACATCATCCTGGAGAATAACATGGACTTCACGGACATCATCAAGTTCTTCAATGGTAAGACAATAAATACAAGGACTGTAATATAGCAGAATTTGTTCTAAGTTTTAGGTAGAATCCTACTAGATAAATAATATACAATTCCAAAGATCAGTTTAAGCAAACAAAATACATTTGTTAAGGTTATATTTCAGCTATGACAATGTAGGACAATTTCAAAATAGACTACAATTTTTACAAATGTAAATTTTACACATGTTTTTATTGCATGCTGACATGTTCTCAGTGTTAAAGATAAAGAGAGGGGTTCCATTACTTATCTCTTTAAGTAAGTGGCCTTTCACCTTCGTACTGGTGTGATATATTTATTTGAGATTAGACAGTAAGTTGCGCAGGACTGTTTTCGATAAGGTTTGGTCCACTTACATTTCTCTGACCCACCTGTCATTTAACAGACTTACTATGATTTTTTTGTTTTTAACCTCTTATAAGACAAAATGATTTTCAAACTCTCTCCTCAGAAATGGCCGAGCGACACGACGTCTCCCAGGTCCTGACGATGGCTCGAGACTTGGTCCACAAGGTGCAGACTCTCATAGAAAACAAGTGATGCGCGACATGTTTGTCGACTCTCACAATTCTTTGTGCTAAAGCGATTCAAGATACTGACACACAGCACACAGTTCTGAAATCAAGAGGAAAGGAATCAGTGTAAATGATTGACAAGTGCTGAAAAAATTAGAATTGGTCGTTGAAACTGCTCTTTGTTGCAAAATAGTTGTAAAACAACTCATGTGCACTTGCGTCTCTCCACATTCAGGAAATGCAAGTGTTGCCTGTAAAATTTTTTTGGAAGTGTTGTTGTTCACCTGGTGAATGTACCCTTGTTGAAACTGCTTCAGGATGTTCTTTATTTTTGCCTTAACTATTTTTTCAGGGATACAGCGACCAAATCCTCCACTGCGTTGCCATTCTCCTGTTAAGTTCTTGCCATATGTTTACAATTTGTGATACACTTGAATATGTTTCCAGTGATTATCTGGCATTGTTAGATGGTTTGGTTGTGTGGACAGTAGAGGTGCTACAGACGAAGCTACTAGGTTGTGATCAAGTGCAATATGTGGTCACTGGTTTGTTTCTGAGCACCACTCGCTGGTCCTTTCTGAGGCTTTTTCCTGATTTGCCTTCGACGACACAAGCCAGCAGGATATCCAGACTGAAACTATAAAACTGTGTGCACTCTGATATTTTGCATATACAGTTGCACCATTTCCTCAGTCCCTTATGCTGTGTGCTACTTCTATAATGATCATTCATCCTTGGCTACCTATCCTAGCTCTCTGTGCAGACCAATGCTTTTCAAGAATCAACACATGCAAGTGGTTAATGCAGATACTCAGAACCTTTCTTCTGCTGAACTAACAGCATTTCACTTGGGCTGAAGAATTCAGCTTTAACATCCAGATAGATCAGTGTAGACAGGTTGTGCTACCTTGCAACTTCATGAGAGCAGCGGCGGTGGTTAATTTTGAGCTGGTGGCGTGAAGGCGTGAAGGCAGCGTGCTTCCTTTTCACTTCCCCTAAAGAGTTTCATAGCCTCTGTCTTCCCTGCAGATCTACTTTGCCTTCGATATCGAGTTCTTTACTCGAACTGGCAAAAAGTTTTAGAATAACTGGAGTAATTGAGCATTTCTCTTCACTATTACCTGAAGATCTCCTTGTTCAAACCTATACAAAATAAACTCTTTCCTTTGAGGCTGGCACCAGTTTGACACTCGCTGCTCCACTTTGACCATTTGTCATACTCCCTCAGTTACATTTCTTGTCCTGTAGAGGACACCCCTTTCGATTATTCATTTGAGAAGGCAGTCAAGTTGTTCCTTCTCTATTGGATCTGGAGCAGTGCTTTCCTGTGGAGGATTCACCTCTCAGCCGAACAGTACAAGTCACCAGGTTGACCGCTGCCCACCTCTTAGCTTGAGTGGACGAAATAACTACACACTCAGCAGTTTCTACTCAGGCTCTCATCACCTGTCACTCGGAAAATGTGCTCTTTCTGAAACCTCACATCAGGTTTCCACAGCCTTGTAAAGTATCTGCAGTGTCACATTTCAAGGGTCAGTTAGGTGATAGTTATTCAGTGGCATGTAGCTATGGGTAAAATCTTTGTTTAGTGTGTGTTAATTTAAGATCCCCAACTAATACTCTATTTCAAACAATTTCTTCCATATAATGGCAACAGGCCTTTATATTGTGACAGGATTTTTTCGGTAGAGAGCGATCCCAGTGAAATCAACGTGACGTGAATGTGATGGAAGGATTCGTTAAAGATAAAAACAACTATCTACATGTGTTTACATCAACAGACACGAGTCAGACAATGTGTTTTAATGCTGCCGCTCACAGTCTCAAAGTAGCCAAAACACACCGATGTGGTTCATGTGGCTTCAAGTCCAGTGCTTTGATATCACCGCTAATGTGTCTCCATATGATCTCCAGAAACATGCCTGAGTATTGCTGTTTGTGTATTGCTGTGTTTGTTGTCAGAGGATTTACTGTATACAGTGTGTTAAAAAGAAACGGATTTATTGTACAAAAAAATAAGCTAGTAAATATTTATTAAATGCAATACAATGTCTGTACAGTATATGGGCTTTATCTGATTATAATGAAAAAGAAGATAAAAGTAAACCATTCGAAATAAATATTTTTATTTATTTTTTTCTGTCTTCTCAAATGGTCACCTGGTATAATTGATTTAATGTGTATTAAAAATATTATATTTTGCATTTCAAGTGCCTTGTGTGTATTTCTAGAGAATGTTTCAACACTGTTACACACAACTATTTCATTTAAAGGGAAAGGTATGAATTCAATTTATTTGTTCCTACAAAATAAAAAATTAGCAAATAATTTCTGGTTCAGGGTTTTTCTAAATCTATCTACAAACTTTCATTCTCATGTGCACACTGTAAAATATGTCCACACTGCACAGCATGCAGGCCACGAGGAGATACTGTATCTTTCTAATGTGGTTTCAGTTGAAAACAAGGAGATCAAAGTCTTTTGTGTAGAACATTCCCATTTTATCTGTTCACCATAGCTCTGAGAGATTGTCAGGGGAAACACAAAGGGAGAATTGTTCTCCCTGTGTCTGCATTGGTTTTCTGCATTTTCCTCCCACAGTCCAGACATGCTGCATAGGTTAATTGGAGACTCTGAATTCCCTGCAGTTGGGAATGTGGGGATAAATGATCTCTCTGTCGGCCCTATGATGCACTGGTAATCCTTTTTATGGACAAAATTTAAATACCACAGGTTAATTAGAGTTGCATCATGAAGAAATGAAATAATGAAAAAAAATCACAGTAAAAGTTTGCATTTTATTGGTAAAGAAAAAACAAAAAAACATCTGAGATGCATACAAATTTAAATCCACCTACAGGCCACCTCAGTCAGCGGTTCACACAATTTAAAAAAAGAAACTGACAAGTGAGGCTCACAGTCAATGTGTCACTGGTCTGAATAACTAAGGAGGATATTGATCAACTTCACAGGTTTGTATTTTGGCAAAAAAAACTTTAAAATTCAAGCTGCAGAATTGTTACACACAAAACAAACGACCTTCAGAATGATAGCTGCAGAACTGTGTAATTTGTTTTGGACGATACGTTTCTTCTTTGCAGTGGTTCCTGACAGTCTGACCATCAGAAACTTCCAATGTTATACAATTAGCTGTTATGTCACCAAGTCGGGGGGGAAATAAATCCTGTCTCCAGATAACATTTGGTTTTTTTGGTTTTAAAAAAAGGACATTTTATTTTAAGGCTGTGGGAAGGAGCATGATGTTCAGGGGATCCTGACTGTGGAATGTATGTAGCAAGAATAAACATTGGGGAATCCTATGAGGAGAACTGGGGTAAAAAAAAAAATTTAAAATCAAAAGTAGAATTACAAAACACTTTCCCCAATTCCTCTGTAAATGACGGGTCTTTCTACCGATAATGACGTGGTGGTGGGCTATGCTGCGGAGGGTGCCTCCTGGGGGGTGGACTATGGCGCGCCATGGCGTGGCGTGGAGGTGACTGGTAGCGTGGAGGAGGAGATCCTCTGTTATTGTAGGGGGATGAATAGCGGCCTCTGGATCTGGAGCGGGAACGTGACCGACTCCAGTTGGGAGTGCCCCTCTCCTCAAAGACACGGATGTAAGTAGTTTCACCCTATAAAAGGAAAAAACTTTATTTCTATATCTATAAGGAAATAGTACAATTAAATCTCATCATCACCGGCACTCACTTGGTGTGAACGGAACTCGGTTCGATCCAGTCTGTGTAAAGCATACTCCATGTCCTCTCTGCGGAGAAATTCCACAACACCATCTCCGTCTCGCTGCACATCAGCAAAACAAACATCTCCTGCTTCACGCATGTGATCCTTCAGATCCTGCCAGCTCCCACTTGGTGGTAACCCTGACATAAGGAAAAGATGAATGTGAAAGGGAGCTGGGGACGAGAACTTGTTATATTTGACCTGCCATTTTAAACCAAAATCATTGAAGGGAGAAGTCCTAAAGCATTAACCCTTTAAGCTGAACAACACCTTTATTAAGTCAGAGGCAGTGATATTTAAAAGCTTGATTGAAATTCTCTGGGAATTGTAGTTTTCTTAACTCTTAAAGTGCTTACAGAACATGGTCATTTTTCTTCCAATCCAATGTTTAACCCAGAGATAACGTCAAACCAAAAGTTGGAAATGTTCAGTGGAAAGTCACTTTATATGACATTATTAACTATCTATGTGTACAAGTCTAAACACTTGATCCTGTGTATGGTACAAATATATAATAGAGCTGAATGCATTTTTCAGTGAAATTTTCAGATAAAGAAGTATTTGGACCGGGTCCTTACTGTGTTGTACTTCATGATATCTTCCGTCATATGACTGATCAAGTCAGGCCACTATATAAATGTATGGGTTTGTGTGGTTCGTCTTTCTACAAAGATTTCCATTTTTCTAGCTAGTATAAACATGCTTGTATACATATAATATCAATGTAGTACATAAAATCATTAATCATAAAGAATGACAAAATGTCACCTACCAGTCACTAAAGTTGGTGTTTGGGATTATGCAGCCAACATGATTGGTTTCGAGTTACTGTTTTGTTTTTCATGACTTAAGGAGCTGACTTGACCTCATCCACTTAGTCCTTTTGATTTCCAGTCCGCCATGAGCGAGAACTATATATATATAGGACTCCGGAGGTCCTCTACTAGTCCTCTTGTCCTCCAATCCGCCACAAGAGATAGAAAGAAACATATCTGCCTATGCCTCATGACGTCCTCTACTAGTCCCCTTGTCCTCCAATCCGCCATGAGATAGAGATACATATCTGCTTATGATTCATGATGTCCTCTACTAGTTTCCTTGTCCTCCAATCCGCCATGAGATAGAGCGAGAGAAACATATCTGCCTATGACTCATGATGTCCTCTACTAGTTTCCTTGTCCTCCAATCCGCCATAGAGAGAGAAATGTTTATGCCTACGACTCATGACGTCCTTTACTAGTCCCTTTGTCCTCCAATCCGCCAGAAGACAGAAAGAGAGAAACATCTGCCTATGACTCATGATGTCCTCTAATAGTCCCCTTTGTCCTCAAATCCGCCATGAGTGAGAGAGAGACGAACATATCTGCCTATGACTTAAGTCCACCTTCCTACCAGTCTCTTTGACTTCCAGGTCGCAGTGAAAGAGAGATAAATATTATCTGGCCATGACGTCCACCTACCAGTCACCATGACGCGGAATTCAGATCTTCGAGTTGGGGGTCCAAACCTTCCCCTAGGTGCTCCTCCTCCACCACCACCTCCTCCTGCCATGGGACCAAATTTAGCACCAGTAGAGCGAGGATACTCAACACGCAGTTTGGAGTCTCCATACCCATATCCATTCCTTCCATAGACAGCATCATCCGCATCCCTACGAGAAGAGAGCAAAGAACCCCTTACCATACACCTGTTTCACTAGAGGACATTGACCTGGAAATGCCATCTCCATCCATTCCCTGCTGGCAGTCAGTGGAGATGATATTATACCACAAAAATTAAGGTATGCTGTAAGGGGAATGTGATTCGACTTGGCAAAGACCATCCCAAAAACTCACCGTGGGTCTTCAAATCGGACGAAGGCAAAAGGGATAGTGCCTCTATTGTTCTTCAATTCAATATCACGGATTTTTCCATATTTGTAGAAGAGATCCTCAATGTCTCTCTCCTGGACATCCACGGGAAGATTCCCCACATAGATCCGGCCATCTGACATGGTGGTTGATTTGAGTGACACTGCTGACACAGAATGGGGGCACCTGCGGACTTTAAGATCACTTCTTGTTTTCACAAAGAGCTGTGGAGGTGGTCCTTATCCTAATCCCAATCCAAAACTTAGTCCATCCACATCAGATGTCTTAATTTAGATTAAAGTTAAAAAATTTAAACCAGAGATGCTGCCATCATAGTAGTAAATGATGAACTCAAGACAAATAGCACAGGACCTCTGATCCAAGCCTGAAAACTTAAAAAAAAAACACAGTGTAATGAATGTCCAGCATTCCCAATAAATTACATAGAAATAAGTTACAGTTTCATTCTGCTTCAAATCATTTACCAAAGTAAATCATAGCACAAAGCACAGGCCTGTTAAGTGATATGAAGAGAAAGGCCTACGATTATGTTCTACAGTCTTGAATGTCACATATCTGATAATAAAATCTTATACTGTCCCAAACAAACATAACATTTAGAACAGTCACATCAGAAGGTAAGTCTCTGGACGCTCGTTATATAAACTGTGATGGCTGGTGAAACTGGTTTTATAAATAACCTGGGTGATCGCTCGGTGGCATATCATTGACATGTATGAGAGAGAGAGAGAAGGTAAACCGGCCAAACCTGTTCACTCTCTGCCAGCTAAACATTCACATCCGCAGCTTACTGGTTCATTTCGATATAAACGTTGGGTCCTTGTCAACACATTCGTTTTAACACCAGTTAGCAAGCAGCACATGATGTTAGCATTCAAAACATTCATTTCCTAACAGCTGCCCAGCTAACGTTAGCCACCATCGTTTATTTACGGTGATTTAATTAACAAACTCTGTGTCGTTCCACCTTCAGAACCACAGGAGCAAATGCTGTAGCGGGGAGATTCAGGTTGACGCCTGCTGCTACAAAACGACAACAAGCCGCTATGCCCACCAGCCATTACGGCTCCACTACAGTGTCTTTGTTAATAACGGCAGGTCAGCTACTCCTGCTATCGAGCGGCTGTTTCGGCTGAAACGCACGAATATTCCTCACACTCGAACATATGTGGGGTTGGAAAATGGACATTAAATACATTCAGCGAGTAACACTTGAATAAAAAAACTTGCTGTTACCTTTTTGAAACAAGTGGCTGCGCCCTTCACTAGAATTGATGCTGCCGACTAGCGCGCTATGCTAGCGTCCGTTGACGACGAGCAGCTCGAGGTCTTCTTCTACTTCTGATTTCATGGACACCCTCCGGCTGGTGAGTTCTCTGCTGCCCCCAGTGGGTCAAACAAAGTAGTTGTCAAACCACTTTATTTTGTGATTGTGAAAACACTAACACGATGCAACCATAGACTATATACAAGTATTTGTACTGTACTTAAATACTGTACTTAGTGTGTATATCAAATGCAACACAGTAGAGGGCGTATGTTTTCTCTCAATTGAAAGAATTGTTGACGCACAGCTCAGCTCTATCCAAAATACTATCCTCCTACTATAATAATACCAATAGTAATAATAATCTCTCTCCTTCTCTCTCTCTCTCTCTCTCTCTCTCTCTATCTATCTATCTATCTATCCAACATCCATTTACCTATCTATATATCTATCCATCCATCCATCTATCTCTCAATCTATCTATCTATCTATCTATCTATCTATCTATCTATCTATCTATCTATCTATCTATCTATCTATCTATCCATCTATCCATCTATCTATCTAAAAATATTCCCGCGTGACGCCAGCGTGACATGGGGGATATGAGACCACGCCCCCGTCCGCGAGGTGAGTTTTAAGCACAGTGACTTTCCAGCACGCGCATCATCCCAGCAGCGGCTCAGTGATCAGAAGTAACTCAGACCGGAGGAGGGTCACTGAGGTCTGAGCACGAAACGCGAAGTAAACAAACATGTCGTACGCCAAGTTAGTGTCTGCGCTCGTCAGGGGGAACTCGGGCCAACTGCGCGTCTCGTGTGGAAGATGTCGATCGACGGTTGCCTCCACCAAGAGCCGGGAGGAGAAGGAGCTGAGCGGCTGCGCTGTGGTGGAGGCGCAGCCCGTGGATCTCATCTCTCAGACCAAGAGCGCTGCGGACTCACCGCTCAGCAAAATCCACATCGACTTTGACAACACCAAAGAAGCGTACGAGAGTAAAGGCAACGCAGAACTGATCCGGAGTCTGCTGGTGTTCAAGCTCTGCACTGTTGACCTGCTGGTGGAGAAGAACAAAGAGGTGAGAGGTTTTTAAATGTGGATGTTTTCACCTCGGAACCTGATCTGCTGCCACATCAGGAATAATCCAGACCCCTCAGGCCCCCTGGAACAAGATCTTAGTTCCTTTAAATCGATGCTGAAGACTTTCCTGTTACGGCCTGTTATTAAATCAAATAATCACAAATTTTATTTTCACTCCTTATATTTTATTGTTTTTTATTTGTTACTTGAAATGCTTCCATGTCTTGTCTTATGTTGCTTTTTTGTTTGTTCCTGTCAGTTGATGGATCTGAGTAGGAAGCTGCTGGGCCAGTGGATGTTTGAGAAGCTCATGAAGATGACCTTCTACGGCCAGTTTGTGGCAGGGGAAGACCACGAATCCATCAAACCTTTGATCCAGAAGAACCAGGCCTTCGGAGTGGGGGCTGTTCTTGACTACAGCGTTGAGGAGGACCTGACCCAGGAGGAGGCGGAGAAGAAGGAAATGGAGTGAGTGTACTTGTTACCTTGGGCTGTGACAACAACAGTGCCTTTGTCATCACCCACTTTGCGGCTCAGAAACGTTGCAAAATGATTCGGTGTGGATTTAAACCAAGAACAGCTCTAATATATGTCAAATGTACAGCACACAAGGGGCTGTGATGAGTTACATAACAGTGTCCTGTTTCAACGGGCGTAACCAGGCTACCACTGCAGAAGGTGACCCAGCCCCTGATCTCCAGGAAGAGGACATTAAAATAGAGCCCCCTTCCCCCACACGTGTGCTTCCAAAATGAGAGGGACAAATGCCAGAATAAAAAGAAATGTTGCAGTGAATAGAATTGTTCTAAACCAGAAGGCCAGTCTGTGATAAATAGGTTTTATAGGCCCCCGGTAGTCATTTCGCCCTCGGCCATCTTAGTACCGATCGCATAACAGGCGTATGGAATGTGCTGTAAACGTTGTTTACGACATACATCTCTGGTCTCAGGTTAAAATTAAACCCTCTTTAGTTTGATGAAAACATTCCATTGAGATATAGTTTGAATCCCTAGCAACATATTCGTATCTAATCAGTCTGGCTTCTGTTGTGACTCTAATTCATGAATCATGTGTTTCATAGTAGGTTTCCTCCACATAAACACAGCTATCATAATCCAATGTGTTTATTTAGTATCCCATTGCAAAACAGTGTTTGTCCTCTATTGGTCGGCTGGGACAGACCCATCTCCTCTGATTGGTTGAGCTGGTTAGTCCTGAGAAAGGCTGTCAGCCTTTTAGAGCAATGTCTGGATCCCTTCAAAGGGCTCGCTCTTACACAAACACACACCCATACACGCACACACACATGTGGACATGTTATGTAACGTCCTGCAGTGAAAATAATCTTATTTTGGGGATTATGTTACGAAGCACGAACATACACATGCTGAAACAAATCCAAGCACTTTGTAAAATAAATTCTGGATCCAATTATCTGGACTTTCTTGGAATCTACAGACGTGAAAGGTTCTTATCTTCATAGAGAAAACTACACAGCAAACGTGTGTTCCCGGATACTTCACTGGTGTCATAACACGTTGAGAAAACTGGTCATCGCCATCGCATTAAAAAGGGCTCGGCTAGACTTGTTTGAATTACTTGCAATTATTTGTTTTTCCATATTTCATGTCTCTTTAGATTGTGATAGAATAACCTTTAGACTTTACTGTTCATAGAAAGGGGCTGAAAGTGCATTTAGACATAATCATTTATTTTCTCTGTCCTTCTTTTTCAGTTCATGTGTTTCTGAAGCAGAGAAAGAAAGTCCAGGTGTGTTGAACTTTTATTTGTATTAAACATAATACCTCACATTACTGACATGCAAGCAAAGGCTGGTCAGACTCTAAGACTTGCTGCACTGGGGCCTGGACGTGTTTCTCAAGTGTCAGCAGTGGTATATGTCAGTTATGTGCTCAAGCCTTGAGCTGGTTATATCTGGATCTCGTGGGGTCTGACACACTCTGCCCTGCTGGTACAGTTAGAGGAAACCTGTTTGTGTAACAGGGTGTACATTTGACGCTTATGTCACAATATACATAATTCCCTAATGTTACTGGCAGTTGCATCACATCATTATAGTGATTACTTTATTATTTATGAGGAGTAAATGATCTCTGACTCATAAAAAATGGGATCAGACATGAAACTTCAAATTAATAAATCAAAACAACCACATTTAATTTTTTTTCCCATGTCAAATGTTTGTTTTTTCCATCTCCAGATGCTGATCATCGCGAGAAGAAATATAAAGCCCACCGACAGTTCAGTGACAGGCGCGGGGGCGTCATCAGTGCTCGCACCTATTTCTACGCAGATGAGGCCAAATGTGACAACCAGATGGAGACATTCATCAAATGCATTAAAGCCTCCGGTGAGTAGGAAGGTTTCTCTACGAGTGATTAAGAAACATAATATTACTAGTTAGTTGAAGCTTGTTGTTATATAGTCACTTTAAACCACTGTGAACAAAATAAGTAAACTATCTCTAGTTAAGTTAAACAAAATCAAATGTGTGTAGAACTATAACTGGCATGATAAGGTTTGTTATCAATTTCAGGTGGCGCCTCTGTTGATGGATTTTCTGCCATCAAACTCACCGCTCTGGGACGCCCACAGTTCCTTGTAAGTCATGTCTTAATTTGTTATCCGTGTTAACCACAGATGTCAGATAAAGTTATGACTTTAATGACTCTCATTAAGCAACACTAGTAAAACCTGGGTGTTAGCTCCAGGTCATTATCACAGAGTAATGACGATGCAAAACAATGTCCATTTATTTTTATGGTTTGAAGCCACTGCCAGTAGATTAGAACAGTCATAGATTACACAATTGCCCCCTCGGATCAGTAAAGTATTCTGATTCTGATTCAATTTGCTGTGTGCAAATCTCAGATGAGATGACTCATATTAAAAGAAGGAAACTGGTTTAAGGAAAACAATGTTTACTGTGTCAGATTCACGCCTCAGTGTTCATCACAATAGGGCTCAGGTGCAGCTTTATAAACTAAACATGAATGTCTTGTTCTGTGTTTGAGCAGCTCCAGTTTTCTGAAGTCCTGGTTCAATGGAGAAACTTCTTCAACTTTCTCGCAGCCCAACAGGGAAAATCTGAAATGATGCTTTTGGAACAAAAGCTGGAGCTGGAACAACTCAAAGTGTGTCCATGCATGCTCATGAATTACTGCTGCCATATGCTTGTTTACTGCATGCGCTTCACTGGTTTTAATCTCTACGTCTTTTAGAGCCCTTTCAACCAATTCATGTTTTTAATCACTGAAATATTTGTCTTGAAGGAAAGTTTGACTCAGATGGGAGTTGGAGCCAAGGATGACATAGAGAACTGGTTTACTGGAGAGAAGCTGGGTTTGTCTGGGTAAGATAGTCGCTTATGCTACAATGATAACAACAACACACATTCATACCTTTTTATTATATACGTTAAATACCCTAGAGTCTGAGTTCTGAAGTTCTTGAAGCACAGTTAAATCAGGAACACACAGACATGTATCAACAGACCTGTGGTTTTTGTATTCACACCAAACCTAGCTCCAATTAATCCAAACAACAAAATATTCTGAGGGCATTTGATTTAAAGTTTGTTTTACTAGAATGTAAAATTTTCTTGTCTACCTTTCAGAACAATTGATCTGCTTGACTGGAACAGTTTGATAAACGACACGACGAAGATATCCAATCTACTCATGGTGCCAAATCTTGAGGTGAGACTATTTTTTGGGCCCAAGAATTCAGACTGTTTAGTAAAACTTTGGATAAATTGGCAGAGGCTGCCTTGCTGTTTGTCTGCTGTACAGTCAGATTTTATTTTCCTTTATTCTGATCATGAGGAAAGCAAAAGCCAAAACAATTGAATATTTTGTGTGTTGGTTGTGCAGACAGGTCACCTGCAGCCATTGTTGAAGATGTTCACGGACGAGGAAGAGAGACAGATGAAGAGAATGCTGCAGAGGGTGGACGTTCTGGCCAAGGTGAGGGAACCAAAACAAAAAGAGGAATTACAGAACACAATGCAGCATTATCATAATCAAATGCCTGTTTTGTGTATGATTCTCTTCTGCACTTTGATGAGTGTCACATGCATGCTTCCATCAAAATTATAAATGCCGTAAAATCACCTTGTATGCTCCAGCATGCTGTGGAGAACGGAGTGAGGCTAATGGTGGACGCTGAGCAGACATACTTCCAGCCGGCTATTAGTCGACTGACCCTGGAGATGCAGAGGATATTCAACAAAGAAAAGCCAATCATTTTCAACACCTACCAGTGTTACCTCAAGGTGAGAATACGATATTTCCTCATGTCGGCTCATAGGGAGATTTTTCAACACTAATTATTTAAAGCTGCAATTTTACCAAAACACATCCAGAGCTGTGTGATGATCGCTCATATTCTCTTGTGTGTGTGTGTGTGTATTTGAACAACTAACTGCCTTTAGGAAGCCTATGACAATATCACTGTGGATGTGGAGCTGTCACGGCGAGAGGGTTGGTACTTTGGTGCCAAGCTGGTGCGTGGAGCCTACATGTACCAAGAGAGAGCCAGGGCCGAGGAGATTGGCTACGAGGACCCAATCAACCCGGACTATGAGGCCACCAACAGGATGTATCACAAGTAAATGCTGAGTTATTGTTAAGGCCACATGTGGATCCGTTAGATAATGTCTGAACGCTAAACATCTGCCTCACTGTTTGTGCAGGTGTTTGGATTACATGCTGGAGGAGATCGAGCGCAGCAGGAAAGCAAACATCATGGTCGCAACGCACAATGAGGACACAGTGAAATTCACCCTTGAAAGGTACGTTTATTCTTAGGCTGCATGAAAATTTCACTCGGCTTGTACTAAGTTGAGATTTTGTTGAAACATACACGGAAGCTGTAAACCCCTCATTCATCAAGGATTACTCCCAGTGGTTTGAACCAAGGCTCTGGATATTTCTCTGAGCTTAAGGTCGTCTTTGTCTACTTTCCAGAGCAATAAAAAGGATTTGCCACACCAGCAGAGAAACACCACACGCCAGCTTCCCTTATGTAACCTGCATGCCATTCTGTTTTTCTTTTTTTTTCAGGATGAATGAGATGGGCCTTTCACCCACTGAGAATAAAGTTTACTTTGGACAGCTGCTGGGCATGTGTGACCAGATCAGCTTCCCACTAGGTATGTTGTGCGCACGACATGCTGTGAGGTTCATATGGCGGGGTCCAAAAGTCCTGGCCTCTGACGTATGCACTTAGATGTCAGATTTTCAATACTCAGGTGGCCACTGACCTTAGAAACTATCTATCCTATCTCAGGAACAAACAACTCCAGTTTCTCAATGGTTTTAATCGTCTGTCACCAAGTCGAGATGCACGCTATCAAGTCTAAAGATAAACACATCACCACCCAATATTGTCTGAGAGATCATTGACACTGCGCTATGCTTTCTATATGTAACAGAGCATGAAACAATACTCAAACTCCATGTTTGTCTCTGAGGTGAAACTAGTTCCCCAGATTATTCATGGAACATTGTTAAAACTGAGACACTCATCCTCATTTAAAAAGAAGTTAATGCTGTACCAGACCTAATCTTTTTCCCACTAGCGAAACAGAAGGCCAGTTTGACCTTGTATAATATAACTTGATATCTAATCTCAAAATGAAAATTTTACATGGCAGTCTTTATCATAACCCAATATTTATTCACTTTTTCTCACCAACCACGCAGCTGTCAGGTTAATGAATATATGCTGAAAAATAATTCAATGTGCCTGGTCATTTTTACTGACTGTATTTCTGATACATCTGTATTTGAAAGCTGTTATTAGACTTAGACACACACATGGTGGAGATAATTGCCACTGTTTAAAATTATTGTCTTCTTTCTGCATTGAAAATACAGGTCAAGCTGGTTTCCCGGTCTACAAGTATGTTCCGTATGGCCCAGTCAATGAGGTCATTCCCTATCTGTCCCGCCGTGCTCAGGAGAACCGCGGCTTCATGAAAGGATCGCAGAGAGAGCGCAGCCTGCTGTGGAAAGAGCTGAAACGCAGGCTGCTGTGTGGCCAGATTTTTTACACGCCTGCCTACTGAGTTACAGTACAGCAACGTTAGCAATGCTAACAGAGGTTAATCTCTGTAATCATTCCACCTCCTGAACTGAACTGGACCATCACCTGATAGCTGCTCTGAGTAGCTATCATGTGATGTCCCTCGTGTGCCTGTTAGGGTGCAAGGTTTTGAAGAATGTTTGCAGTACATCGTCTGTAATAGGGATTTATCTTAGAAAAGGGATTTATTTAACTAGAAAAACACTGCTGATCCATTAAGAAGTGATTCATATTTCAGCACCATATGCTTAATAGGTCAGCACCAGTTTATTTTAGTTAGACCTGGACAATGTGATCCTCAGATTTAATCTGCAAAAGCATAAAAACAATTTTTAATGGACCTTTGTAAACATTTATTCTGATAAGAAGGAATTCTTTTAGTAGAGGTTAAGAAAATGATGTTGTATGTTTACCAGATGTGGCCTACTTGTATATATTTATAACAGTGCTCAAGTGCTTTGATGATGAAAGACACTTTTTTTATGTTTTGTTCATTTTATTTTTCTTAGCTGTCACTCAAAGTGCCTTATGATGGTTGACATAAAATTAATCAAAAGCAATCAGCTACTGTACCACTTATCGTCACTGTACACTCCTCCAGCAGGATAATAAATTATTCTAGCATGTTTATTGCTGTTATTTTATGTAAATGTATTAACAGTTGTTGATCACTGTACACCACAGGGTTTTAATTATATAAAAATGGTTTGAATGAATTTTCATGTGTCTCGTTTAGAGTCATAACACATTGTTTATCAGTATATAAACAACAAATGTGGCAATAACATTAAAATAGTTCATCGTCTTGAATGGAGTTGATTCTCACTGCAGCTGGAGGATAATAAAAAATGTTGATGCTTTTATTTACAGCAGTGTTTATGAACTCCTGAAGTAACGTTGTCACTCATTCAAATGTACGACAACTGCCTCATCGTCATGTTGTCACTGACATCAGTCCATAAACAAGTTGCCTCTACGGGAGGAGGATGGATGGTTAAATGTCGTCTGAATAGAATGAGAACCTGTTGTCACTGCAGAGAGACAAATTGACTGTGATCTACAGTCAAAGTTACTCTGGAACTCGTCGGGCCTCATTCCAGGAGTGACATACCACAAAGTATCATTTAGTTTGCTCTCCTCCCAGGAAACAGTATCTGCTTGTCAAAGTTGTATGGTGCACGAATGGGGGGGGGGTGAAAGATATGCCATTCCCCCTGTTACAAGTGGGTACCATTAGAATGATTTTGAAGCTGCTATTTTAAAGGTACAATGTGTAGAATTTAGTGATATAGTGTAGAAATTGCATGTTGCAGCTGAACACCCCTCACCTCACCGTCTCCTTTAACATGAAAAAGAACCTGTGGAAGCCTTCACTTGTCATAAAAACTTAAAAGGTGTTTAGTTTGTCCAGTCTGGATTAAGGTAAAAAAAACATGGTGGCCTCCATAGAGAGGGTCCCCTCGATGTAAATATTAAGTATTTGAATATAAAGGGCCTTTTCTAGGGTAAAGAAAACTACAATTCATACAATTTAGATCAAATGAACTAGTGAAAACATCATGAGGATTATTCTACATTAGATTTCTGCCAATAGTTCCCTTTCACCTAAATCTTACACAAGTGACATAACATGACTGATGTAAAATTACAAGACAAGGCTGTTGCTGCCTTAGTGGTAACAAAACTTCACCTTCCTTCCTGATTATAGCAACTGAATCCCAGAGTGGATATACAAACCTCCCTCCAGTGCCATGGTGACATAGATCTGATTATCCTCTGTGATGTAATCTTATATCAGTGGAATCAATAACTACATCACACATGGCTGGCAATACCAAACGATGGGACCAACTGGATCAGACACAAATGATTCAGCCGCAGCCAAAGTCAACAGCAGCTGAGCAAAGTCAACAGCACCTGCGTCCAGGTGTCTGGAGACTGAAGAAAAACATCCCACCAGCCTGCACAACACAGCAGGCAGCTGGGAGGAGACAGGTAGACCCCTCTGGGTGTGTACGTTTACATCTATCCATGTATCTATATATGTAATGTGTATGAAATGATGCACAGAACATCTAAAGTGTTTTCATTTGGAGGAACAGTGCATGTTAGATCATCTACAGTGAAGCCACAAAAACATGGTGGCGTGATCTATCTATCTATTTGAATTGAATCCAAGGAACAACATCCAATATGCAATTCAATGTACATACATGTATGTAGGCCAATGTCATCATACAATTATAGCCATATTTATCTTTCTCCAAACAACAAAACAAAACCAGAACCGCAATCTAAATCCTAACAAAACTAAATGCTTAAGCTGACTATATATTAATTTAGAGGCCTACTTGATGTTTGTATAGTTGAATTGCAAATCTATTGAAACAGTTAAGTAGAGTTGTGCCTTTCAGCAGTCTCCCATCAGACTCAACAATCTAGTTTTCCAACCCTGTGGGAGGAGAGTTCAGATCCGCTCTCAGTCTTCACAGCCAATGAGACAGGACGGTGACTTCAGGCACTCTTGTCTTATGCTGGAAAACAAAGGGTTTTACTCCACCACAGGACTGCTAATGCTGTCATCTGCAGGTAAGGAATGCTCCTCTAGTATTTTCTCCACAGGTGTATTGTTGTTTCATTCTGTCATTGACTCGGCACTTCATTTATACTCTGGCTGTTTTGATAATGAGTCATATGATTGTAATTTTCAGCTAAATGAATGTCTTGTCGGCTTTAAACTAATTCAGTTATAATAATCATCCACTTCAACGACTGTACGAGGCCAACTCACAACAGCTGTGTGTGAAAATTGACAACACAGATGACTGTCAACGACAAGAAGCCAAAGCTTCGGGGACGTTCCTTTCAACATCATATTATCTCTCCAGAATGCCTCTCTGATAACATTCAAGAAGAGCTCAGCCATTCTCTTTTAGTTTTCTGTTGTTTCCCAGTGTGAACCCTTTGCTGTTATAATTTGCACTTGTGTTTGGAGCAGCAACAGCAGAAAGCATGTTTACAGTGTAAACATGGGGGTTGTGTGTTTTATTTGACCGAAAGAGTGATTCAGCAGTTTCCTTGAATATATCCCTTATTCTATGATTTAATATGGACGAGGGGAGGCTATAGGGAGTATTTGTGGCCCTGTGTGTAAGAATGGTTGCACGGCATTTCAGCCTATACTGCCCATTGTTTCTATGAGAGCACAACGGTAACAAAATCCAGACAGGTGTGTTTCAAACCTTCACAGCTACACTGGTCTTTTTCCTTTAAAGTTTCCCTCCATACTCTTGATTTCATTTTCAGGTTTTAATCATGTTTGGCATCAACGGACACAAGTGCACACATGGAGTACAAGGGTTGATTCTGTGGGTTTTATTGACCAACATCATGCTGCTGCTCTACTGCTTAACAAACCCAGCCCAAGTGAAGATGAGGTAAATATTCAAAGGCAAAGTTTTATAACCTCTGCCCAAGAGGTAATGTTCCTGTATGAATTTATTTGTTTGCTTATCTGTTCGTTGGCAGGAATACACAGAAGCCAGTGAGCAGATTACCACAAAACTTTTTTAACATCGCGAGTCGTGATATTGATGAATAAGTAGAATTTGGTGCCGATGTAAATAAAAATCAAATGTGGTTTCATAAGGGGACTGTTGGGCCTTGGTGGAGGAATGTGCTCTATTCCCTTTACTTATGCCTGTGCTTACAGGGGCTCCCAAGAAGACACGTGTCCACACAGCATGGCTAAAAATCTTAAGGAAAATGTGACCAAGCCTTCTCAACGCAGCAAACCCCAGTCAGACGAGTGCTCCCCTGCAGTCAACGTCATGTTCATGAAGACACATAAAACTGCCAGTAGCACCATCCTCAACATCCTCTTCAGATTTGGAGAAAAGCACAAGCTCAAGTTTGCCTTCCCCAATGGGCGCAATGACTTCCTGTACCCATTGCCTTTCCAGAGCTCCCAGGTGAAGGACTACAGGCCTGGGGATTGTTTCAACATTGTTTGCAACCACATGCGCTTTGCCCCCCAAGAAGTAACCAAGCTCCTGCCTCCCGATGCTGCGTACATCACCATCTTACGAGACCCGGTGGATCTCTTTGAGTCGTCCTTCCACTATTATCACAGGGCGGTTCCTCTTACATGGAGAATCACTGGAGAGAACAAACTGGTGGAGTTTCTGAAGAATCCTCAGACCTTCTACAGGCCAGAGGCCTACAATTCATTCTACCTTAAAAACCTGCTCTTCTTTGACTTTGGTCTTGATAACAACGTTGAAGCTGATGATCCTGGTGTGATGAGGGGTATTCATCACTTATCCAAATTTTTCCATTTGGTCCTCATGGCAGAATACTTTGAGGAGTCTCTAATCCTGTTGAAGCATAAACTCTGTTGGAGCACCGAGGACATTATATATTTTAAGCTCAACGCTCGCAAGAAGTCATTTGTATCTGAACTGACCCCTGAGCTCAGAGCCAAAGCGTTGGAGTGGAATGGGGCTGACTGGAGACTCTATCAGTACTTCAACACCACCTTCTGGGCCAGAGTGGAGTCCTTTGGGAGGGAGAGAATGAAACAAGAGGTAGATGAGCTGAGGAGAAGAAATGCAGAGATGGAGGCTATTTGCATCGAGGGAGGGAATCCAGTCGAAGCCCAAAAGATTCAGGACAGTCACTTCCTGCCCTGGCAGCCGGTCGGAGAGTCTTCCATCCTGGGGTACAACATGAAGAAAGACATCGATCCTAAATTCAGGACACAGTGTGAGAAAATGCTCACACCTGAGATCCAGTACCTGTCAGACTTGGGTGTGAGTCTGTGGCTCACTCGACTATGGGGTTGGGTAAAAGATGCTGTTTTCACATTTAACTGAAACTGATACATTTATAACTAGACTACAGTAACCCAGTGACATGTACACGATTCCTATTGTAACAAATGTTTTCCTGTTATTTAAGTACAGTTTGCAAGTTTTTTTTTGAATGATACCTCCATAATGTTAATTACGGCTGGATTACAGTGATCTCAGTGACCCTCACTCATCATCTATTGACCCTCAACTAATTCTCACATTTTGTTGTCAATTTTAAAACATACATCTTTGTTGTTCACTGCAAGTACAAATGTTTCTGACTCTTTTTGTTTTTTTGGACTCATGGTGCTAATTTAATGTTGAGCCAACATTGAGAACAGGAAGTGACTGAAACCACTGAGCCACTGGCTGTGGCTGTGAAGTTGTGTTATTGTGCCATCTAAAGGCCTGAGACTTTATTGGAGTCGTTTGCGTTGCGTTTGAACTGTTGTGGTCTAGCTTGACCCTGTTGCTGTCGTGAACATATCGTCATTGTTGACAGTATTAATGGTTTCACATGGCGAGCAAAAAACTTCAATTCAGGCATGAGACATTCAGTTTGGCCACTTTTCACAAAACCTCACCTCCCCCACCTTCTCACAAACTGAAGATGAGTAGTCTTTCCTCTTTGTCAACACACTAACTTTACTTGTCTTAGTAATGTTGGTTTTGGTTGTATGTTTTAACCTTATATACAGTCTATGGTTTTAACTCAGGAAATGCAGACACATGACAAATCAACTTGTGGTACAAGCGTCACTGATATATCCACCCTACACTAAAGCTGCACTAAAAACAAATGAAGTTGAACCATCAAGATGAGCTTTTTCTTTTCTATTTTTATGAGTCATGTGATTTTAACTTTTGGTGATCTCCAAACTGCAAATGTATGAACAACCACTGTTAACCCATCGTCTGTTTACTAATTTTAGTTGAAAAGAAATACTATTTGACTTAAATAAAGATGACAAATGAAGCCTTCATTTATGTCTGAAAAGCCCAATTATGTCTTCTACACTATTATTTGATAAAGATCACACACAGCAGTGTTTTGCACCGGAACACCAACCTCTCTGCCATCTTTGAAATGCTACTCTGTGTTAGCATCAGATATCAGGCATATGTCAAAAAAATGAAATCAGCTCTATGACAAGGACACAACTACCTATTGTATATCAATGCCCTTTAGCAAGGTATTTGAAAATATTTCCTCCATCAAGAAGGGCTGTTTTCACAGACTCTGGTTCATTGGTTTGCAGGATTACACAGAAACTACTAAACTGATTTGCACCAAACTTTGTGATGGGTCTAAGAAAAGTAATGTATGACAAGTTTAGTTTTTCGGAGCTCTTCTATTTCTTTCCTTTAGTAGTTCTACTTAAGGAACTAGACAATCAGGTCTACGATTTCAGAGGCATGCGCTGTACTGGTGTTACTGTGTGAGTGGGGCTTTTGATAGTATTATAGGCATAAATGTGACTATTCCTATGAAAATACTATTTCAAAATGAATACATTTTATCAATATACTTCACCAACAACTGCACTTAGACAAATCACAACATTGTGAGGTCTGTAAGACTGTAATACATGTTTAATTTAATCATTTACAATTTGAAAGAGGAAAAGACTTGACAAACAACAACTGGGATTGGTGGGTGGAGGTGGGAAAGGTGTCAGGAACCATTGCTCCGGCTTCGTTATGGTCTGGACAGTTGATGGGCTCCCTCAGCTCCTCTGGTAGCCTGTGGTTCACTGTCCATGTTGACTGCTGATGCATTCAGGTGTGAAGTCCTGGAAGAATGGATGATGGGAAGTGTGACGACAGCTGCACTTCAGCCTCAGGTGACCCCGGGGCCGCGTCCTCATTCCTCCTCTTTCTCCTCGTAGTTGTGTTTGATGTGCTTCCATAGTTTCTACAGAAAAGCACAGGTTTGATGAGGTGAGTGTCATGAAAACACGGTGTAGTAATGTACGAGGCTTTACAGACACTGGGAGGAAGCAGGGCTACGCTAACAAACGAGCTAACCAAGCTAACACCCCCGCCGCTTCGCCCTCTGTTTACAAGGTCAGAATAAAACAGGCTTTAAGGAAACCACCGGACTCACTCACCCCGCTATTCATCTGCTCAAAGATCGCATCGCCACCTTGGTCGAATAGTCGCTCGAAGAAAACCGCTCCAACCATGATGGTTATAGCGAAAGTGGACGTTCTCCTGAAGAGCAGGTTGTACACGGACTTAGCCAGCGCCATGACGGAGGATCGAGTGCGCAGGCCCGGAAGTCCGCGCTCTGTACTTCCGCTTCGGGAACAGGAAGCGACCGGGAGACGTAAATAAAGATCCCGCAGAGACGCAGCGCGTTTTACATTTTACTTTGCTTCAAAGAGGGAAGATAAAGCACAGAGGAGGACATCACAGCTCCATTAATGGTACGAGATCTTCGCTGTTTACATCTAGTGTTTATTTAAGTGGTTGTAGCCACGTGAGCTGAACTGTCCAGCTGTTTATCATCGCTACGCACACACCGATGTAGGTGTTTGTCAAACGGTGAGATGTTTAAACGAGCATCAGATCACTTGTTTACACGCTCATTGTGTTTCTATAAAACTCCATGTTGGTGGATCAGTGTCTGAAATTCACTCATTATAGAACAGGAAGTCACATATACAAGGTTTTTCAAAATAAAAGGCGTCTCCTTGGTCAAACCAGGAGATGGCAGCAAACGACCGTCAACTCAATACACTCAATCAAAATATAGATTTATATGAGGTTGTATATATAGTATTATATTGCTGATAGTATTGATTCGGTGAGGTTGGCGCCTCCCAATTTGTATTTTCTACTTTTATGGCAGATCTGCATTCAAATGTCTTACATTAGAAACGAGACATGTCGATTCCATGGATGCAAGTGTCCCACATGTCATAGAACTGATTGGATTAGCTTCTGATTCATGATGAAATAATCAGTTGACAGATTATGCACTGTCAATGCATGTATCAGATTTACACAACTGCAGATTAAATTGGTTTAGTAGGTAAATAGGTTTTGTATTGTTACTCATGTGTAGGGCAACATTAACATTTAATACTGGATAAAAAGAGATGTAATAAGAAGTGTTTACATGAGCAAGGTTACTCACTCACCATGTGTTGGCAGAACAGTGTCTAAAGCTTTTTTGTTTCTGTTTTTGGTGTTTCAGAGGTTTAAAAGGTGACATTGTGGTTTGAACACAGAACTTGCACCATGGGGAGGAGATACTACTGTGACTACTGCGACAGGTCCTTTCAGGACAACATGCATAACAGGAAGAAACATCTGAATGGAGTCCAGCATCACAGAGCTAAAAAGGCCTGGTATGATCATTTCAGAGGTGAGACAGGGTGTTTGTTTGTGTGACCACTGAGATGAAATGACACACAATGTTCTCCTTTGTATATATTGTGTACAGAATCACTGTCAAACAAATTTATGTGATTGAAGAATGAAGCGTGTTTACATTTCAATATGCCACCTCAGCTACACACCAGTTTCCTTCACAGTGTTGTATTACAGTAGATAAACAAGCATGGACACACTATTATTGTTTTTACAGACTTAGCAGCCATTCTGCAGGATGAGCAAGCAAAGAAACCGTGCAGGAAGTTTCTCCAAAAAGGTAAAAAAAGAGTCAAACCAAACATTCATGCTATAAAGACATTTTATGAAATGAATTTTTATAAATATTATTATTTCCTTGGTTTCTTTTTTGTTTTAGGAATTTGTGATTTTGGGCCAAACTGCAGGTTTTCTCACATGTCTGAAGAGGATCTGTTTAACCTAAAAACACAAGTGGAAGGTAGGCTGTAACCGAAGTGCTTTCTACCATGTGTTTGAGAAGTTTTAGAAATAGATTATGATTAACGTCAATTAGGGTAATGTGATAGTATCTTTATATTTATAGTTATTTATAATAAAGTTGATAGTTAAACTATTAAATTCAAGCCTCATATTTTGATATTGGTATCCTCAGCAACGATTGTGTGAATGACTCCTTGTTGAGGGGAGTAAAACATTTCTTGTCTTTCAGATGAGAGACAGCACAGAGAGGATTCTCTGGACAGAAGGAAGTCGGGGCGAAGTGTAGAAGATTGGCTTTCTAGGAGGGAAAAGAGGCGAACTGCCCTCGGTAGCAAAGGGTAATCGTCCTCTTTTCTGTTTCAGCACTTGGTGCTCGCTTTACATGATAAATGGTTATTCCTGTTGATGAAGTATTCATCTGCTCAATTATTTATCTTTCACAGAAATCTAAAGCACGAGGAAGACATTGAAGAGGACCAAACAGAAAGTGACATACCTCAACAGCTTCTCTCTATTCCTGACCTTCCACCATCACTTATTCCTCCCCCTCGGGGCGGATGGAAAGTCCAAGTAAACACTGAATGGGGTTGATGATTCAACATTTGTTTTTGCATAAAACCATTTTTTTAAACAAAATCTGAGACTAGCAATTCCTATAGAGCTATATTTAAAACAAGGCTCCTCTCAGGGGTAAGGCTTGATGTCCTGAGAGGAATGCAGGATCACTAAGCAGATGGAAATTTATTTTTTGTTATATTTTAACTATACTTAATCCTGTGTTGAGTCACTGGGGGAATAACTGATTTCATGACCTAATTTTTTATACCAGCAACTGGAAATGATAAGATTTACCCCCATAAAGTTTCTGTTAATATGTTTTAGCGACAGGCCTCCTGCAGATATCTTGGATTTATGTTTTTATAAATGACATGGTCTTTCAAAAACATCAGTTTATGTATTCCTCTTATCTGAGGTTGTGCTTAGATGTAAACACTGTCTCTACATTCATTACACAATACAGTGTTGACACCAGAATCCTCATTAAAATGTGTTTTTGTGTGTAAATTACAATTTTGTCAATAATGTGTCTAATTCTCCTGCTACTTAAAAGTACCATGTGTTTTTTTCTACATGTTGGACTATGAAGCAGTATTTTTACTTGTTTAATCTCAATGGAGGTGGAAAAATATTATTTGAGTTTTTATATTAGTTATCAAAAATCATGCACTAGTTTACTGAGTCAGAAACTATTAAATGCTTTAGCACAGGAGTCTTTATTATCAGATGTAGTCTGCAGTTATGTCAAACAGCTAAATGACCGAGCTGAGTGACCATGGAATCAAATAACAGCTTTGTAAAACGTCATTGTTGAAAATATTCCTGCGTACATTTTTATTACACATACACTAAATATTTCTACAGCTGCAAAACTTTATTACACATCCACAAACTTGAATTTGTGAGAACGCTTCTTGTTCACACATTCAGATGCGTGAGTGCAGTTTTTTTTTTCACATGCGCACAAAAGGTGATATACAACAAATATTTTTTCGAACATTGTTTCATAAACTCAAAATATGTGTGACTCTTATTTGACTTAGGTGAATTCACATTCTTCATTCTTTTCTTTTACATGTCCAACTCCTCCTCCAAATACTTCATACACATTCAAGCCATTG